TCTCCCATTGTATTTCCTTTATGAATGCATATATTAATGATACATTGCATTTACCTATTTCATTTCATCACCTTAGCATCTTTACTTCTCTAAAACAGCTTACTATCCCTTGTAAAGGTTGTACTTACCTCAATATTGGTTGGTTATCGTATGCCTACAACTACGGGTTGAAAACGAAATGAAGTCGATTTTCCTGCGCAACCTGGAGGACTACTGTTCAATTCAATAATGATACGACATGGGTCAGACAATGAGTGTATTTATACATATATCAAATATTTAGCTGTTCAAACATTACTAACTTGTAGACAATCTACTATTTGACATTGTATCATACTTGATCGTGCCTGTAAAAATGACATGCATTTTCATGTGAATTTATGTTTATATGAAAATATAAATTATTATTATTTATAATTTCCGCGCGAAATCGACATACCGTATTTTTTCAATTACAGTTTAGATTTGGCGCTACGTCTTATGACTTACTCAGTCGAAAGCAGATCTCAAAAATTATCTATTTCCTTATATGTACATTTCTTTAAAAATGTTTCTCAAAAATTCACCGGTTGTTGAATTATTAATACTTCTCTGCATGTTTAACTGGATAATAACTGCTGTGGTGAGCCTTTTGCAGATGATATTGCTTTAAACATCGTTTACGGTAAACTAACTAACGTTTTACAAGCCATTTTTATACTTTTGTGAGTAGCCCACCATATCGACCGAATGTAACGCAATACTCAGTTGTTACGCTCATTTTCAACAAATTCAAACAATAATGGTGCCTAGGATTATGCCATATAAACTGTTTTAACTTATGCAGAGTGTACTTACGGTCAATATTCCATTATCTTCCCTTGTATATATCTTGTGTTAGTGAAAAATTTTAAACATGTCTACTCCATGTGTGCATTATTATCATATTGATGATGCCTGTCAACTGGAGTCCCTCGTGTGCATAAAGTGAGAATATATTATTATAAGACTCATTTTATTATTTTATGAGGGAATTGACTTCAAGCTTTATTTATTTTCCGAAGTATCTGTAATTCATCCAACGCATACTTGGGGTTTTTTGTTAATACGAAGTCAATATCTCTATATTTCTTGATGTGTTCCATTGAATCACTAGTTATCAGATTTTTCCCACAAACTAAAGATGAAGTGACAGCAACCATGTTGTTTAACCGCAAATCATGCAATTCAAATATCTAACTTAAATAATACTTATCTATGTCTATACAACTTGTGTGTCCTACATTTGTAGGAATAAATATGTACCTTATTATATTATCATTACTAACTATACTTACTAATCGAATTGATGATGCCTATAAACTGGCGTCCCTCATGTACAAAAATGAGAATATATTATTATTAACCAGTATTCAATCTATTTCACAGTACAGACAACCTCTCTGATGTGTGGAATTTTAATTACTATCCAGATATCAGCCGTCAGAGTCACACTCAACGACTCATCATCTACAAGGTGGGATTTTTCCGTAGCACCAAATGAAGGTTAAGCTACGTATAAACTTTCCTCAAACGGTCGACTGGGGCAGTGGGCACAGAATATACATAGCACTTAGCAGAAAGGGAAACTATCAGCACCCTAGAACCTGTCTAAACTGCGCGCTTCATGACTCATGAACAAGTCACGCGTATACCGAGCCACTTCCTTCCTCCTCCAGCAGTGTCCGCCGACAGAGGGCTGGATTGGAATATTTAATGAAAAACAAGTCAAAACATAACGTCAATGCATGGAGTCTTTGAATACTAGCTTTAGGCAACCAAGTACGTGTGAAACCAATAATAAAATAGGGGGCCTGTTCAGCCCAGACGGTATGCAAGCTATCTCCTCAAGGTGAAGACAGGAAGTGGTTGAGAACGGAACCTTTCGACAAAGAAACCAAGCGATAAACGAACATCGATAAATTCGACGTGACGTGATTGTACTTATCGAGAGAGGTTGTCAGCAAGCATCATGCGTGAATGTATTAATCTTCACATTGGTCAAGCGGGTGTCCAGATTGGTGATTAATGCTGGGGATTCTATTGTCTTGGACACGTGATTGAGCCAGATGGATGAGTGCTGATTGACTTGACAGTTTTGAATGGAAGTGGTAATAACGCATTCAGTACATTCTTCAACGAGACGGGTTCTGGTCACTATGTTCCACGTGCAGTATCTGTGCATCTTGGACCGACGGTTATTGGCGGTTTAAGCCATGGGGACTACAGGCAGTTATTTAAACCAGAACAGGAGATCACTGGAAGGGAGGATGCGGTTTTCAGTTGTCTGCTGAGTCTAACAGAGCCACGGTAGCAAAGTGAACAGTTCTGTCACACAAAATTCAGCAATGACTTTGTGCTGCTCCGCAAAATAAAGAAGCACACTAAACGCAAAACCATTGAAAATTGAGTCTGAGTTGTCTATGTTGCAGGTAGGCGCTGAATCAAACGTAGTAGCCAACGTTGATATAATTCTGTACCCTATAGAGTATTTCTAGTAGTATTTGAATTTGTTTGTAAGTAATTCTCTTAGTTTTCATTTAATTTTGCTGCTATGCTCCTATTTAAAATCTTGGGCACGCATATTTTTCAGATTTCGAATTTTATTTGAGTCAAAAAGCTCAGGAGTATGTGTTAAGCCACGTATATAAAATGCCTGTGCTTTTGGTTTAAAGGTAATTCTTCTAGGAGTCACTTAATGGCCCGGTGCGTGGATTTGTAGATTCATGGCTATATGGTATGCTTAAGCATATCCCAGGTCTAAAATATTCTCCGACCGGGTTGGATGTATGCATGCATATATTCAGCCCCCCTCTGAAGAGTTTCCTGATATGATGGGAAGGAAAAAACAAATGTCTTGGCTCTATATTGTTAGCTAGATCTTCCTTACTTGCGGCATGGTAAGGTGAATAGACTCAATCTTTTCGTTGCTCACCTTAAGATGCCTATACCAGGTGTCATACTTCTGACTATTCGTTTAACTCATTCCATTATGTAGTCCCACACGAGACATAGGTGCTTGAGTGCAGTACTTTAGTCTTGCCTCCATATTTAAATCTGGGGCTTTGGATCTGTCTTACGTATTGCTCAAAGTGTCCTGCAACTCCGAGTTGCAATTGGTGGACAGTTTCTTCTGGTTTTTGAGTTATGTGTTACTATGGTGTCTAAGTCATTGTGGGTCTGAACTGAAGGAAGAAGTACTCCGTCAACATGGTGTGCTGCCGTACATGCACTCATGGTACATGTGGCTACACACAGTCCTTAAGAGCCTTCCACATTTTTATATTGGCATAGAGAGACAATAGAATTTTGGTAGGTACTCCCTTAATATACGAAGGAAACAATGAAGGACATTATTGGACCTTGTGTCGCCTAGTTTGGATTTGTTCCTCCTTATCACTCCAGACAGGTTTTCAAATCCAAGTCATTAGATTTCCAGCGATTTCAAAATCCTCTGCTTTAGTAAATAGTCACGGAAGAAACATTTTACTAAGATTCTTTAGGATAACATATATATTTCGTTATACTTAGACCTAAATATATTCCTCTTGGTGTAAAGTTTTAGTAGAAGAAACTCCCTTGAAGCATACTGTACGTTAGACAGCAAGTTGTTTTCCAAGCAGCCCATAACAGCTTCCGTAACTAATCTTTCAAACATATAAAGCTTGTGGGATATTATTGAGACCCTTCTACGTAGGTGGGTGTGACTTTCTGAAGAGTAGTCCGAAAATGCATTATCAGTTCAAGTATTGGTTTTCTAAAGGTTTCCTAGATCTTACTTAGACTTCCAAGATTAATGTCTATTTCTCCTGTCTTCCATAATTGCTCGTTTTCAAAGAATTCATTAATAGTTCCAATAACCATTGTCTTTCGACCAATTTATTAGATTGAACAGTTGTCGACTACTGCCTGAAAAGTTGTCATTTCTTCCTACGCTCTGGACTTGTGACCCAATAGTTTTTACCACCTACGTCCCAGCTAATGGACTAAGCGTGTAGCTTTATAACTAATAACCAGCAAGTCAAAAAGTTTAATTCTCTTGTGTCTATCAAATTCCAGACGACCGAATAATAAACTGACTTCGTACTTACGTGTAAATATGAAGTTGTTGTGCTTCTATATTTTGATTAATCTAGCGTATACGTATATCCTAATACTTCTTCTCGTTTATACTTGTGTTCTAACGTTGTGCTTACTCGACACACACAACGTAAATCAGAAGACACTTGAGAAGGTGTAGGAATGTGTATTCTCGCCGTAATCAAAATTCAAAACTTGAGCGAGTACACATGTATCAACTGTTAACATGCAAGATTTAGAGTAATAAACAAATCGAAGTACAATTGCACAATGAAAGTATAGTACGATGATGAGTAATAAAATGGGTCACTACAAAGTCTCGCAAGGCTCTCAGTACTTTATAAAAGGTCGCTCCTTAGAAAGTGTAGTGTGTCTTTTGTGCTTCTTTTCTTTGTTCTACGCAGAGCTGACTTCGATAGATGTGGAGCGGTCCTAGTCTATGTGTTGTACATCGGAATGCATTTATAGCAATTGTAATTAGATAAGCAAAAATCGTGTGGATGAACTATGTGGCAAATGTACCTGACAGGGGATATTTCTCTGCTAAATTGAACACAATTATAATTAATTGATCTATTCCTCAATGCATGAATTCTTCACAGACATTGCATTTTGCCTTCTTAGTGTGTTTATGATAACATCATGTTCCTCTGGTTCACGTAGGTGAAACAGGATATTGTTAAAATAACTTCAAGGTCTATTATGTCGAACTTATAAGTTGTCTAAGTTTGTCTCATTTCCTAATATGCCTTGCGGTAATATTTTGTATTATACCTTAGATTGTTAATTTAATACGTTTTTCATGTAGCTGCTAGTGAATCGCTAATTTGTATTAAATCGTTTTCCTCTCATCTAGGTGCATTTAAATAACAACTCAACCATAACATCATATAATCTCCTCAATGTTATTTCATCTATTCTTACTTCAATTATTACTGATTTTATCAGAAGCATATCCCAGACGGTTGACTTTTGAGTTACCTGACAATGAGGCAATATGCTTTTATGAAGATCTCCCAGCTTCGAAGCAATACGTGTTCAGCTATCATGTAATTCATGGTGGTCAAAACGATGTAGATATTAAAATCAAAGACCCTAGACAGCAGGTTGTTTCCAATGTTGAGCGTGGCACTGAAGATGATATCACGTTCAAAACAGCCTCTACGAACGGAACTTATTCGTTTTGTTTCAGTAACGAATTCTCTTCTATTTCACATAAACTCATCTATTTTGAAATACGTCCAGAGGATTATGAAACGTTGGCTGAAGAAGCGGGACTACCTGTTTATCCAACCGTAATGAGTTTATTGGAAAGTGTTGTTGAAGTGTTGCATCATTTTCTTTCACGTGCTGAAAGCTTAGAAATCGAACTGAAGAACCGTGATTATGGTGATTTCTTGGTTGCAGAAGACTTAAACGCAGCTGTGTTTGTTTGGAGTGTGATTATCACTGTCGTTGTGGTGGTGACAACACTTGGCCAGGTGACAATATTGAAAAATTTCTTCAGTGAAAAGAAAGTAGCATATTCATCACCGATGACAGCAAATTACCGGGGCGTGAGGACATGATCTGCTTGTAGGATGAGGGTTTTTCTTGTATTTACCTTCTTTTTATGCTCTTTTAAAAGTCCTTAAAGTATAATGAACATGAAAGAGATGTTTTCCTTCCTCTGGAAATGCATCTCTTGTTTGTGATTGCTATTCTGTTTATATTTATCTGTACCTTTTAACCAATATATCTAGTAGTTACCAGTCTATGTGAATGAGCTCATTGTGTCCTGTACAGTTTTTTCCAATTTTACTGAAATTTTTTTCATGCCTCTGTTATTTTGTTTATGTCAGTTGCTTGTTTTCTGGTTTGAAAATTTTTTGATTTAATTAGTATTATAAGTGTAAAAACAACTTTTCCGATGGATGTGTGGTGATGTTTTTTGTTTTTGTTTTGATAAAATAAAAAGAATACTTAAGCGTTGTTGTGAATTATAGCTAGCTAGTTTACATGTTAAGTAGTCGAATTTTAAAGTCTAAGATAATCTATGAAAGGATTCAAAATATTCATGTGATTGTGTTCTCTTAGTTGGGTAGTTAATTTGCGAAGCTTTCATAACCTTTCTTGATATCTTCAGTGCAGGTTTCAAAATAAAATGAATTCATTTGAACTCTGTATGAATGATGTCATTGTTTCTCTTGGCGACTTTCGTTTTGTTTGGTTGTTAATTTGTATTATTGTTAGCTGTTTTTCAAAGCCTTGGAATTTGACTTTCTTGTTATGTGACTTATTTTTTATCAGTTCATATCTGTTGAATCAGAGGACCCAACTGCACCAGTATCGTCCACCTAAGCTACTGGTTTTATCAATCACTTCTAAATGATCCGAAATATTTTAGATTGGTTTGTTTTTTATACACTCTGCAGACAAATCAACGTAGAACTCTGGGTAGAACTGCTCCGGTTGAATTTGTCACACTTTAGGAAAGCATGCTATGAGCAAGCAGACTAAAATCAATAACTAACACAAAGTAGGAGAATTCAATGAAAATTAGTGAAAATGTTGCGCAGAAGACAATGGGTGAAAGTATTTGCTGCATTTTGAACGATTTTGTTCTATCAGCCACTGATTCGTAACACTGGTACAACAGTCTTTCCCGTGGCGAGTCTAACCTTACTCCAATTGCAGGATCTGTTGTCCTATGCTTGTCTATGTCAGTTCACTTTTTTCTGTAATCTAATCCTTCTATAAAAAGTTTATACTCTCCTACGTGATTTAATCTAATTGGGTCTGTTGATAGTATTGTGGTGTGATCACTTTGATCTCCTGTCACTCTCTTTTTCCTATCTCGATGTAAACAGTGTTCCTTAAATTGCTCAAGTCATCACATAACCTAGTGGAATGCATGTGCTTACAGTTGAGGTAGTTTTTGTCTGCCACCTTTACTCTTGTAGTCAATCGTACGGATATGCTTTGCTGTGCTTTAAGTTCTTGCATCTTAGACATGCGTGCATAGGTCTTTAACGTGTTCATTTTCTTTTTCAAAGTATGCATCATCTAATGAATAATTACGGAAAGACTTGATTATGGAAAGTTTTTGTAATGCATATGTTATATTTTTAAAGCACATGGAAAGTGGTTTTCATTATAAATGTGGTTTCAGTTTCATTCTAGAGTTACTTGAAAGTAAACGTGCATTGGTTCTGTAAGAGATAGAATACAAAAAGGATACCTGAAGATTCTTAAACTAAGCGAAAAGAAATAGTAAAGTTGAAGAACCTCCCTGGTCTGACAAGTGAGGGAAACTAAACGACTAATGCACTTGCTTTTCTTATCGGCCCATCAGAATATTATCCGTTTTTTTAGCCTTTATTGTTTATCAGTTATAGTTGATTACTCATCGCATTTTACAGGTAAATATTTTGTGGTAAGCGGGATAAGGGAGGAGGAAGAAAGTGAATACACATCAGTTAATCTCAATGAGAGAAATCTATTCTGTTATGTAGAGAGTTCCTCTTCAGGCTTAAGGATTTTCCAGGTTTAAGTCGGTATATTTACTCACTGCTGTGTAGCCAATGAACTGTGAATAAAACGAAACATAATTGTGATTTGCACAAGACTTGTTTACACAGATGAGTAATACGAATACAAACAAATTATGCTACTAATATTCATCTAGTCAGAAAAACGAGTCTTTAGAAACTGACTTAAAGGTAATAATGTGGAGAAAAACTATTTTGACAAGTCATTTTAGATTTGCAGGGATTTGATTGATTCCATTGTAAATTTTTTGATGAACCAACGTTATTTGGGGAATCATTTCAAACTTTGAGAGGAATGAATAGCTGCTGCAAACTGCGTTGGGGCTTTTCGGCAGTGCACACTTGTGACTCCTGGGGGTCGGACCCAGGGATTTGCAGCTGACGAAGTAGGCTTGTTAGTGACTTACTTCAAGATAGATGTTCTGGGATTCCAGTGACCACTGGAGTATTCCATTTCAGATGTAGAGTAAGTGCTCCCTGACGCCCTGGATTTTCGGTTGCTTTATATTTCGAACTGACAGAACTCATGGGTTACCGCATTTCGACCCGTCATCATCAATGAATGGTAAACGTGGTTGGTGCCTAACTTGAACAGCCTGAACTTGATCCCTAGTGAAGTTGTGAGTAATCACCGTTAGTAACTTTCAAGCTATGACGGAACACCTGTTCAGTGCTCTGGTTTCTGATGGTTCTTCAAATGGTGTCAGCTTGTGACGGAATCATTTAGCGTACATGATATTTCATTATCCAAGGCTTTTCATTTTCATCCGTTCTTCATCAGTCCACATAATAAGTATCCAAACAAGTTGTAGGACAATTCGTGGCATCGTTGACAGACATAACTTTTGAGCTATTCATCTTAAGCGTGGTCACGAACTGATTTCAATTAGAGAACCATTAGAAACCAGGGAATACTGGGCAGCTTCGTCGTCTTACTTTGGGACTCCTCAGTGGTGCGCAGCAGGGATCAAACCCAGGATCTTCAGGCTGCAAGACTAGTTCGTTGACCATCCAGCCCCTAGGACAGAATCTAATTACCCATCAGTTTTGCCAATCAGCGATGGGCTGTTAGGATCGTGGATGTGTACTGTTGAAGAACCCTAAACTAGGACGGGGAAACTTCCCGGTATTCCACCGGTTCTCTGACTGGAGTCAGTTCATGATAAAACTTCAAATTAATCAAACCCCTACAAACCAACACTTGGGAATTTCAGCCGTTGATTGTTCTTTCCTCAAATTAAAGTATTGCACATACGAATATCACTGAAAATGACACATTTGGATCGATATCTTTATTGATTCACCTCATTTGAGGGAAAATTGCTTGGTATCAAGCAGTTGAAACTAAACGATAGTCAAATATTTTGGCTTAAAAGTCAATAAAGGTGTGTCGTTCTTGTCAGTTAAACATTTTTTCTTTTAAATGTCAGTATACTTTAAGAGATTTTATCAAGATTCAATATCGTGTGCAAATCAGTTTGTTTATTTTATCGTTTTATTTCTTTACGTTCCTAGTGGAACATAGGGGTTCAAGCTAGAGCTTGGGAGTTTCGGTATCGGTGGTGTTTATTTTTACGGGATGGGGTTGCTAGCCTCATGCCCAACCTCTTCATGAACTCTCTTACAAATCAGATCGCCGCGCCTGGGCAGCGATGATTCGAGATGTTCATGAAGCCGGATCATCCTCCCGTAGGAGATAGCCGAAGTAAAGTAAAAGTAACCTCTTTACCGGTCTTACTACCAGCCTAGCAAGGTTTTGAAGTTCGTCAGCGAGGATCGAACCCCGAACCACATGAGTGGTTAGCGAGCATTCTATCGTTAAGCCACTGATGCTCTGCAAATCAACAGACAGCTCGTATTGTTTATCCTGATTTCTTGAATTCATCGGTATGCGTAATCATTGCATACATGTCACTAGACTGAAATTATTCTCTGTGGTGTTATGTTTATAAAGTGTCAGTATAAACAACCAACCACGACTGTTAAGCGAATCCATAATGGCTATAAATGTGTAAATAAAAATTACTAGTGTCTGTTGTGTTTATGCGAGTTCTTTGAATTATTGGTTTTACTTTGAAGAAAACAGTTAAAATCTTGACTGCAGCAGAACTCGGAGCCATTGGTCTCCAGATTGCACTAGCCTGGTCATATACCATATCAATGGAGTCTTTTTTAGACTGGTAATTTAAACTGGAAAACCTATAAAAATTATACATTCCACTCTGTATATTAATAAACCTTCCATCTAGTTTCGTACAAGAACTCCCTTCTATAAATTTGAGCAGAGAAGGAACAAAAATCGATGCAGAATAACATGGATCCATTTTATTTCGTCGGCTCTTATCATCTGCATAAATCCTGTAACTTGTGTCTATCAACAAGCGTACTGTAAGAGCATCATGGCGCTATAAAACAACAGGACGACAATGTAGGTGAAGTATTGGTGTAAATATATATCTCGGTAGAGAGAAGTTTCTCAGAAATTAGTTGACAAATTTGTTGTTGGGATGGTAACAAAAAAATTAATGGTAATTACGTCGTTAGACAAGAGAAGGTCGAAATCTGGTGTGTAGGAAGTGAAATGAGAATATGATGATGCAGTACAATAAAGTCAAGAAGAATTATCTCTTATGGAAGTCAAACGGAAAAAAGGCGGGTTGAGAAGGTTAACCAATGAAATTAGAAAACAAAGAGTTTTTAAGAGATGAATCAGCAGGGTAATTGCAGTTCAATAACAGATTCTTTCCACCTAATATTGATTCGCGATCAGAACTGTTGTCATATCATTCGTACTTTACTAGGCAGTCGGATGAAAGTGTCATAATTCTTCATATCTCTTTTTGGATAATTATCAACTTCAAATTAAAGGAGTGAGTGTGTTGAAAGTAGTGTTTGTTAAGGATAAAAAGCTGTGCTAAAGTTTGATGTTGCAGTATACCTGATATATTGAAGATTACATATAATAGCAAGGGATATATGTATAAATGTATATGGTAAATTTTCTTAGCAACAGAAAGAATATTTCCAAAGATGTCATTAGAATTGTAATTTTTTTTACGTAACAAACTGCGTAATATAAAAATTTAAAACAGTTAGTCCCTTTTATAAATTTTGATAGCATTATTAGAAGGCGGAGATTACCTGAAAAATGTGATGTATTTGCGCTATACATTTCGAACAATCTGACCACACATTTACTTGTCAAGTCAATATATATGGAAAAGTTAAATTAAACAAAGTGACAAAAAAAAGAATTAAGAATAATTAACACAAACGTTTGGTAATCCAATCAAATAAGGATTACCAAGGTAGGTTGAGAGTAATAGCAAACTGTTTTTGAATACACAAGGGGGGCTTAAGTTTATGAATGGCTATAGCCTCAGCGTATTTCAGTAAACGTCCTTGGCCGTTTTTATAGATGACCTTAAAAAAAGTTAATTGGGTAGAGATTAAAATGAAATAAGTAAACTGAGTGGCGTCATATAATCGATGGGATTCAGTAGAATTCAATTATAATTAAACGAGAGTCAAGTTAACACCAGTGGTAATAAGGGGTGGGGGAAGAAAATAATACAGTTGAAAACAAAAACTACTTGCCAGGTGTTGAGACAGATTAGGTCCATTGTAGATTTAATGACTGAAAACATTTCTGTATGTAGAGTTCAGGATTTACCATGTGAATTGGCATTGCTTCTTCATTTCGAAGAAGTTTGATTCGTACTGTTTTAGCAAGGTTCCCACGTCTTCTGTAGATGACTTTAAAGTTGGTTCGTGGATTGGCTTTGTGTCCAGTTTCGATAAGGTATTCCAAGATAGAGCTGTGGGGGGTGTTCTTTTAACTCCTCTGTAAAATCTCGAGGCTAAGTGTTCGATGATACGTTCGGATAGTAAACGGTGGGTACGACATGGCTACCTCCACAGGAGCAGGTGATTTTATAGATACACATTGATGAGGCCAGAAGTAGTAGCTTATCCTCCAAGTTCATATGAATCATTTGTTCTGTGGGGAAAGTTAGTCGAAGTTCATT